TCAGTCAGTGAAAGACAAATATCATATGACTTCACTCATATGAAGACTTTAAGATACAAAACAGATGAAAATAAAGGAAGGGAAGCAAAAATAATATAAAAACAGGGAGGGGGACAAAACAGAAGAGACTCTTAAATATGGAGAACAAACTGAGGGTTACTGGAAGGGGTGTATGGGGGCGATGGGCTAAATGGATAGGAGGCATTAAGGAATCTACTCCTAAAATCATTGTTGCACTACATGTTAACTAATTTGGATGTAAAAAAAAACAAAAAACAAAACAACTCTTAAAAATTTTTTTTCTTTTAAGAGAGGAAAGAAAAAAGAAAATATGATGAAAGCAGGTTGGTGTGAAAGCAGTATGGTGAAGCTGAATAACAAAGGTTAATGCACAAGTTGAAAAATATATATATATATATATAGAGAGAGAGAGAGAGAGAGAGGGAGAGAGAGAGGGAAAGAGAGAGAGAGAGAGAGAGAGAGAGAGAGAGAGAGAGAGAGAGAGAGAGAGAGAGAGAGAGAGAGATGAAAAGGGATTAGGATTCTGCTCCAAATGAGGAATCATGAAAGATGAAAGAAGGATGCTCAATGAGGAAACCAAGAATTGAGGGAGAGTCAGAGTTCCAGATAAGCTACACAGTTTAAGGTGCTGAAGTTTAAAGAAAATTTTCAGTTAGGTGACTTTGGGAAAGATCCATATACTTAAGTTCATTCTTGACAAGTTCATTCATTCATTCATTCATTCATTTCCATAAATAGATATTAATCTTGTTTTCTGGCAATAAATCAGAAAACAAGATCGACCTTGGTTAGAGCCCAGCAACAAACAATGAAACAAGCAATTATAAATTACAATAAACTGAGATAGATGCCAACATGGGTAAGTGCACATGGCAGGCCCTCCCAGGGTACCTTCATTTTCATGCAGGGTGTTTCCCCAATCTCTGGGCTTTGTAGGTACAGAAACATGATCTGCTCCAATGCCTAATTCCATCTCTTGGGGATGGACACTCCCTAGCCAGGCTGACTGAAGTGATGACATAGGAAAAAATATAAGCACCAGAAGGTCAATTTATTGACTTACAGTAATAAAAATAAATAGAAATTATTTGAATATTTGTACTCTCTGAAGTGTATATTCTTTCATAATAGACAGATTACCATCACAAGATTACTCGAAGAGAATGGATCACAGCAAAGGGCGGGGGGGGGGGGGGGGTGGGCTGGATGATCTTAATGTCCAGTGTCACCAGGAAGTGGTAACCCCATGTGGTCACTTACACTCTTCAGTCAAGACCTGCCTCACAGTAGATATTGGTGTTCATGGGTCAGGGCACCATCCCTCTGGCCACTGCTAGAGGATCTGCCCTATTCTATCTTTCTCAATATCCCTTTTATAGACTCCCTTACTTTTATGTACACGTTCATTCTCCAGACATGGGATAATATAATTAACTAACTAATCTTTCTTACATATAATCAACAATCAAGTCTTGCCCCCACTCCCATGGTGATATGCAGATTATCCAGATTAATATCTGGGCATTAAAATCTGTTAGGATTTTCCTATGTAGGTCTGATTTTACCAACAATGTTTTAATTATTCCTATTTTCATGTTCAAAGTGTAATTTTAGCTTTCTTTTAGGAATGTTCTGCCTATTTTCCATTTGTTAGATCTACTCTTAGCCAGTTAAGGTTGGGTTTGGCCAATGAATGGGACATCAGAGATCAGAGGGGAGGAGGAAAATGAGGGTCAGGTATTTGACCCCCCAGCTCTCTCCTTATGGGGTCACTGCAAATAGGCTACTTCTCTAGACCAATGATCACAGGTCTTGTTAGGAAGGTCCTCTCCATTCCTGAGTTTTGGTAATAGCTCTCATCCTTTTCCCCTTTTGGGCCTTGGGATGGAAACAGTTCCCCAGCATTGCTAGTCCCAAGATAATTCACTGTGCCTTGTTGGTCTCCCTAAATCCTGCCCACACCATTGTAACAATCTCTTTATTACACTTTCCTAACTTTCTCCTTTGGACATGCCATCTCTTTCCTGTTGGGACCCTGATATAGATTGGGGTTGACTGGAAACCCATATATTACCAATGGGAGTTAAAGGCTGGAGCACAAATATGTAGCCAACTAATTACGTAGTGATAGAGACCCAAAGAACTACGAATTTAATCTTTGGGGTTGTGAAAGAACAAATGTTAGGTATTACTTTCCTGAAAAATAAACGAATGAAGTAAATGAGCTTAAAAGAATGAACTTAAATGAGCTTAAAAAGAACCTTGAAGAGTGTCAAGCTTCTAAACAATGCATAAAATTGAGGCAAGTAAGGTTCAGTGGCTCACCCATAATCAAAGTCCCTTACCTACAGAATTGAGAGTAAATTTGGCTTTCTGGTTCCCAGTCCTCCGTTACTCGGTTTCCCCTGGGGATATTATTTCGATTCCTTGAAGAAGAAAGCAACATGGATGTCCTACAGTTTTATTTAATCAAACAAAAATTCCAAGGAAGAGAGAAAGAAGGAGGTAGGTGTGCTGATTTCAAAATATGTCCACAATCTCTTTGATAATTCTCCATTCAAGAGGTAAAACCAGATTCCTCTCCTCTTGAGTACACACTGGATTTACTGACTCGCTTCTAACCAACAAACTACGATGGAAGAGATGGTGTATCATTTCCAAGACTAGGTCATAAAAGGAAATGTGACTTCCTCCTTGCTCTCTCCCTTGGACACTTGTTCTGGGGGAAGCCAGCTGCCATGTTGTGTAGCAACTCAAGCAATCCTATGGAGAGGAACTAAGACCAACTGTCAATAGCCCTTCAAGTACACCACCTTGGAAGCAGATTGTCCAGCCCCGGCCCAGCCTTAACATGATTATAGCCCCTAGATAACAGCTTGACTTCGATCCAGATACAGAACCACCCCTCTAAGCTTCTCCTGAATTCCTAATCTAGAGAAACTATGAAATAATAAATGTTCGTTGTTTTAAACTGCTAAGCTTGAAGGTAATTTGTTATACAGCAATAGTTTACTAATAAAAAAGGAAGAGGAAGGAAGGCAGAAAAAGAGAAAGGAGGGAGAAAGAATAGGCAGAAAAAAACATTGCTTGTAAAATATTCTCACGTACCACAGCCAAAAATTGTTCAGAGAACAACTACATAAAACATAGAAGGCTGATGAGTTGGGGAGTTGCCAAATCAACATATTTGAAGCATAGCATATCATGGTTTCTAAATGAATACAAAAAAATTTCATAGTTTAAAATCTTATAACGTGCCACTCAGGTCAGATCATGGTCTGCATAAGCCCAATATTCTATTTATGATGGTGGAGCAAGATTTTGTGGGAGAATATGAGTACTTTTTATGGCATTGATCTCTGAAACCAAGAGAGTGTACCCAACTAATATCAAATAAACATATATGTATGTATATAGAAAGACCTTTTCTTCATTATTGTTTTCTATCATCTTCTTTTTCCTCTAAAACTGCCTCCAAGCACTGAGAGTCAATCCTTCTATCTAAAATTCATGTGACAGTCTTTGTAGGAAGATCTGGGAGCCTGGAGGCCAACAGAAATTCTGCTAGTTCAGTTTTAATATTTGGGGAGGGAATGGCTATCAGAGACTAGTAAGGCCCCATAAAATAACCAAAGTTACAGTCATAACCCATCTCAACAAGCTTTAATCTCATTGAAGATTGGTTGTCTATCTTGTCAGTTCTATGGTTTGGACCTTCACAAGAGACACAAGTTAGGTAGTTATTTAAGTAACCTCTACACCCAACCTGGGGCTCGTACTCCTGACCCGTGAGATCAAGAATCTCATGCTCTTCCGACAGAGCCAGCCAGGTGCCCCCTACACAAGCTCTCCTTGCTATGCATAAATGCTTCCCTGTGAACCTCTGTTTCGGTGGCTTTATGTTACATCTAATATAGAATGAGCGGTTTTCTAACCCTTCTGCTGAAAGGCCCCTAACTGCTGCTTCTGATACATGGTGGATGTCATTCACCCTAAATGTGGATTATTTCTTTTGTAATCCTTGATTCCTTTTCCATTCAGCTTTCATCTTCTCAGGTTCAACAACAGACAAACATTAAAGGAGGAAAGCAAAACTAAAGACGCATGGATATCATGAAAAGTAAAACTGAATACCGCAGTGAGCATAGCACAAGGCCGAGGTGTCCATCACCATCAATGAATGTAACATTGTGTGCCATCTCTACTTTGATAAAAGAAAAAAAAAAGAAGTTGAATTTTTTTGAATGGTGTAGTATAAAAGGGAATAATTTGCTTCCAAAAAACAAGGATGTATGGTAAGAGAGTAGCTGTGCTTCATGATTGGAATCAGAAGAGCAGGGGAGTGAAATGCCTGAACCAGCATATGTAAGATTGAGGAACGACATCAGATCTTGATACAGAATGGCAAGGAGGAGGCCAGCAGACTGGGGCCAGGCAGGGTTGTGGGGGGGAATCTGTGTGTGACACCAAGGAGGCAGCCAACAGAGTGGGAATCAATCGAGGAGGAGAAGAAATCACTGAAATTAAAGACATGTTGGGGCACCCGGTGGCTCAGTCGGTTAAGCAACCGAGTCTGATTTCGGCTCAGGTCATGATCTTGAGGTTTGTGAGCTCAAGCCCCTCCTTGGAATCTGCACTGACAGCGTGGAGCCTGCTTGGGATTCTGTGTCTCCCTTTCTCTCTGCCCCCCCCCCAAAATAAATAAACATTAAAAAATCTTTAATAAAAAAAAAAAAAAGACACGAGCAAGCAAGTGGATGAAAGGTGAAGGAGGCACTGACTCAGGCAAGTTTCATGGTGAGACATTCTAACCCACATAAGTCAGATAAGGAGAAAAGGGTCCATGGTTGGATAGACAGCTGCATAGCTAGCTAGCAAAGTGAGAAAGTAAATAAGCAAGTAAGCAAATAAACAAGTGTCTGTAAAAAGAAAAGAGGAAACAAGTAGCAGAGTTTACCTCATGCTGTTTGTTTTCCCCAGAGAAGGAAGTCTGCAATATCTTGTGAGTGACACTGAGACTCCTAGAGGTGACCATCCACACGGTCCAGCTCTGAAAAGAGAGCCTCTTATGATTATGCAAGTCTTAGGGGGTGAAACAGGACTCTGTCTAATGCTCTGGGATTGCACGGTTTATTTTCCTAATGGGAGACTGGATTTTACGTGGCACAGGCAACCGTCTGAGGGCTGGAAAGCATAATAAAGTTCAGGAGGGAAAAGAGAGTTCCTGGAACAGATTGGCTTACCATTACATTTGCAAATAATTCCCCTACTGTCAAAATCAGCCTTTGGCAGATATATTTGGTTTGATTCTGGAGAAAAGGGAAATAATAAAATCCATGACACCAGTGCTTTTGACTATCTCATTTAAGGAAGCTAGTAAAAGAATAGCAGTAATTGGAGGTCCTCAACACTTTTGGGTTCAGATTAAAATTTTTTCATAATTTCATTGCAAAGGCTATAGTGGTAGCAAGTGACAGAATCATAACTCTGGTCTAAAATTATGCTACAAATAGGAAGATGATAGACTTGACTTTCCAGTATGTTCAAACCAGTAACAGGGTGACCAAAAAGGGCCTGAAGAGCTGCCTTTGTCTCGGGAGACAGTCGTCAATACAATGAGGCATAAATCGCTTAAAAATAGAGCCAGCATATGGGTTGCCTTCTAACCGTGTGAAATATATAAAAATGCTAGGAAAATGTGATTCGAATTCCAATACATTATGGATAAAGCTTGAAATAAGGCAAGAATATTCATGCAACCCTCTGCAATATGCATAACAATAGAAACTGAAAATACACCGCATGGTAAAATGCCAATGAAACATTAATAAGCAAAAATTTCTGTGCATAATCAGTGAAAGTAGAGGGTTACTAAAGATTGGAAATCTACTGTTTAGGGAAAAGTAAAGCTGTATAAATAAAGAGGGCAGAATTAGAAATGGTGGAGGCAATCTGTTTTGTGCATCGAAGGATCAAGAGAAAATAATATATAAAATGTGATGCCAAACTTCTTCAAAAAAATAACAGCTGCTATCTCTGAATATTAGGAGTGTGGGGCAATTCTAATTTTTTCTTTATGCATTCTTGTTTTCCAAATAATCTCGTGTATTATTATTTAAAATATTATTTTTAAAAACTGTGCAGCAGATTTAAGTCCACATATTATTATAATGATGACAAGACCAGATGGATTCTGTTTTCATTTTGTGACAAACATGCAGGTCTAGATTCAGGGTAAACAACTACAGAGCAATGGAGACAGAGAAGAAGAAAAAATACAAAAAGAGTGACAAAGGAAGAAGTACCTTCATTAGAATTTTAAGAGTTATGTGTTTAAAAGGAGAAAGGACGAAAGACAATAACTGGAAGAGATATTAAATAAAAAGAATATTAGACAGAGTTGCTTTCCTATAGAGTTTAAAACTTTAACAAGTATGTACAGCGTATAGCATGTGAAGTGATTCTATGGAGAAATCTATAGAATCACAGAACTCTAGACTTAAAAGAGAACCTTCGACATTATCTAGTATCAATTCCATCATTTTATAGAAAAAGCTGGGATCCACAAAGGCAAAGTGGCTCAAACCTAGTTAGAGAGAGTTTGGGATCTGAACACAGGGTTAAGCATTTGGGGCTCCTTTTGTCTGGTTTTATTGCAGTTCATGCTGCATGTGAACACTGTAATCTTCCTCCTACAACTTCCAAAAAAGAGAAGGAACATTCATTAGGGGTAGGACATGAAATGATAAATGCATATTTTAAAGGGATATGTTCAACTTTTCTGCAACTGAAAAGGATTGGGTAACTAACCAGTTACTGGAAGAAAGAGAAATTGCTTCTAGACGGAATGGAGAAAATGGGGGTGGGGGCAAAAAGGGATGTCCATGAACTCAAACTTAGAAAGTATGAGGAAAAGATGGGGCACCTGGCTGGCTTGGTCAGTAGAGCATGCAACTCTTGATCTCAGGGTTGTGAGTTCAAGTCCCATGCTGGGTGTGGAGACTACTTAAAAAAAAAAAAAAAGACAAGACAAGACAGTATGAGTGAAAGAGACTAACCAATCAAGTGAGACTGGCCTTGAATCAAAGGAATATGGGGTAGCTCTCTATAGAAATTTGATGGCTGATGAAAATAATGATGAAATCCTAGGTGCTTGGGGGTCTATGACTGTAGACAGATGGATAATCAGAAATAATTTTTTATGAAGAGCCAAAGAACAAAGTTTTCTGAAAGTCATAAGTGGAGAACAGAAGGTTAACAGAATTCTTTTGTTCAGAGAAATATTGCTTAAATACAAAGTAGGAAGTAGAAAGTGGGTAGAGCAATCAGGAGGTTATGACCGAGGATACTGAACACAAGACACATAAATAAGTTCGATTTTCAAGGAATGATTTGACATAAAATAGTGAGTCCAAGGGGCGACTGGGTGGCTCAGTCAGTTGAGCATCCGACTTCGGCTTAGGTCATGATCTCACGGTTCGTGGGTTCGAGCCCCACATCAGGCTCTGTGCTGACAGCTCAGAGCCTGGAGCCTGCTTTGGATTCTGTGTCTCCCTCTCTCTCTCTGCCCCTCCCTGCTCACGGTTTGTCTCTCTCTCTCTCTCTCTCTCTCTCTCTCTCTTTCTCTCCTTCAAAAATAAATAAACATTAAAAAAAGAAATAGTGCATCCAAGCCTTGGGGAAAAAGTCCTCTCTAAATGAGTAGAAATAAAAATGCACAACAACAACAAAAATGCATGAAGAGTTGAGGATATTTAAATTCAGGTTTCTGTTATATTGACAATAAATCTGAACCATACAAATGAATAGAAATTCATTAACATATAAATATAAAATGTAAATCATGAAAGGAGAAAAAATTGTCTTTCGATAAATGTTATTATGATTGTGAATGTTTCAAGTTTTCTCTCTTTTTATATCAGCTGGAAAAATTGTTTTCAGTTAAAAATATTTATGAAGTTTTATGACTAAATCATTGGCAGCATCAAAGTTAAAAAAGAAAAAGAAAAAATAGATTGTCAAGTGTTTTTATTATGACTAGCGCTAACCTGTCTGTCCCACTTTCCATGAGAATCAGAGGCTCTGGCAGTTAGATAGTAAAGCTGGCTGGGGAGGACCCCGCACTGCACACTGTGGAGAGACTGTGTTTTAAAGGAGGTAGTCCTATGGAAAATGGCTACATTTTGCCAACTGCTGTCTCTGGAGCTTTGGCTCTGAGCCAGGGATCTGCATCATGGTATCAGCTGCTCTTGCTGTGGCAGCCCAGCAGCTAACATTCTCTAGCTCTATTTAGTAGCAAAAGATGGGGTGTCTATACCCAATATAAGTAACCGGCAGTAAACAAAGAGGATGCATTTCCATTCACCTTCAATTTAATTAGGTCTCCTAGTTTATACTTTCTCTGACCATCCTATATTTCTTCATAATTGCGTAATTTATTTTCTATTTATTTGTTTAACGTCGGTCTCCCCAACCAGAATATAAAGACGGGAACATTTTACTTCTATCCTAATTGTCCCTTTGTGTAACTGCGACTCCAAGCACGGTGCCTTTGCCCAGAATAGGTGCTATAAATAATGTCGACTCCATGGGAGAATTTACTCTCAGATAGCCACCCCCAGTAACTAAAGGAAATATGTTCCTTAATCTACGGCAAACAGGTAACTTTCCATATTTTTTAATCCTGGAAGATGGTTGCATTTCAAATATCTTTCAAGGCTTATTCTTATTCATTTTGCTTAGTGCAACTCTCAGCATTAATATTTTTGATTCATTGGGATGTGCTCCAAAAATAGGAAATCAAATCTAAACACATAAATTGGCTCAGGAAGTAGCATCCGGAACATATTATTATTCTTATTGATGATGAACTCTCTTGCCAATAGTTTTCCATCCTCCCTGGATTATCGCATGCCAAAAAAGGCATGCTTCACAGAGCCCTTAGTTCTTTAAGTGGCAGGTTCTATTTAAATACATAGATAAGACTTGTCAGTCTGTGCTGCTATTAAGCTGTAAAGTCACATTGCAGTAAAAACAATACTTTTGGTAGCTTTCCATGTTCCTTTTAATCCTTTCCCATTTTTTGGAAAGCTTGTGAATTTAGGGCCTGGTTTAAAAGAAATGTCAATGAAAAAAAATCAATAACTAAGGAGTAGCTAGAAATGACATTACAACATTTACATTATCATACATGCAAGCCTAGAGAAGCAGTGCATTTGATATTCTAATGATGGCATGATCTACTTATACATAGTCCCTGAGAAATCATGGGGAATACCATATGCCCAAATCTTTGCTTAATACTTACATTTTGTAGAGTTTATGTGATTTGTAGCTTGTGTCCAACTTTTTAAGACAACTGGTTTATTCTACTAGCACCATGGTGAACAACACATTTCCTGAGAAGACAAAATCTTTCATAGTCTTGAAGTACCAAACAGTGCCTGGAAGAAATGATTTTACAAGATTTAACCTTAAGTGCCCTCACTGAGTTACTGTGATTCATTTCAGATGTTATCTTGATTTTCCCATCAGCAGGGTAATGTCTTAAAAGACTAGGTCGCTAAGCTGCTCTACAAATACATCTTTCCAACTGATACAGTTTATATATATCTTGCTGACTCTGTTTCTGCTACTAAATAGTTGGGAAACCTTGGGAATGTCATTTTTTTAAATCTCCATCTGGCCTCATTTTTCTCATTTACAAAATGAAGGAGTTGAATAAGATCAATGGTTTAAAGTATTTGGCAACAAAACCCTTTCTTCAAATAAAAATATTTTGTCAAAGCCTGAGGTATGGAATAGAATATGGCTCCATTTAGCATAGCTTGAAAATCACTCATCTAAATACTATCTCATGTCAATTTGACTACGAAATATTAGAATTCCCTATAATAGATTCACAGTTCATATTAAAAAATATTCACTGAATGTCTGCAGGTGTTAGTTTCGGCCAGCATTCTGCTGTACTCTATGCAAGCCAGGCCCTTACCCGTTTTTTCCAGCAGGTTATTTTCCAGAGGGGGAACCACAAAATTCCACAAATAAAATAAAAAAGTTATAAGTACAAAATGACGCACAAAATAGGGAGTGATTACTTCTGGCCAAGGGATCAAAGAAGTGTTCATTAGAAGGTGGCAGCATTTGACCAAGAGGTAGGATTTTTGACTGGGGAAAATGAGTGTTTCCAAGTGGGGCAAACATAGTAAGCGAAGGTTTGGGAGCAGGGAATTGAAACACATGCTAAGAGAAAGGCAAAGTGCGGGGCACCTGGGTGGCTCAGTCGGTTAAGTGTCCAACTTTGGCTCAGGTCATGGTATCACATTTGTGAGTTCGAGCCCCACATCAGGCTCTCTGTCAGCACAGAGCCTGCTTCAGATCCTCTAACCACCCCCTCTGCCCCTGACCCACTCATACTCTCTCTGTCTCTTAAAAATAAATAAGTAAATAAACAAACAAATAAATACAAAGGCAAAGGGTTTCAGCTTGGTTGTGGTATTAATGGTAAGATGGGGACTTTGAATTAGAGCTGAGAAATTCGGCTGGAATTAGATTATCAACATCCTTGAATTTCATGATAATGAGGTTTGTCTTTATTCTTTAGGAAACAAAAGCTATTGGAAGTTTTTTTGTTTTGTTTTGTTTTATTTGGGGTTTTCATTTGTTTGTTCATTTTTAGCAGAAACTGACATACAGTTAAGCATCTGACTTGCACTCAGGTCATAATCTCACAGTGCTCAGGTTCGAGCCCTGCTTC